GTGGCCCTGAGAGGCCAAACGGACTGCAACTTAAGAAACACCAGCAATAAGAAAAACGCTGCAAAAGCACACAAAACACAACGGAAATAGGAAAAACGGATTTCCAAAAGCACAAGGGAAGTGTTTCTGGGGAGACAATAACCCGACGGACCAGTTGCAGGAACCAAAATATGCTAAGAATTGCGCTGGGAGACACTTAAACGTAGAAAAGCCAAATGGCTGCTCTCTGGGAGTTCCTGTGTTAAAAGAAGTGGAGGATCTATCGGTTTTGTGAGGAAAGAAAAGGTGAGAGGTAAGTGTGTTAGCCTAACTATTAGCCTAAAAATCCATCATCGGTATTATATGAATCATGATAAAACACACCTACCATGTTTTGGGTTCCTGCCAATGGTCCGTCGGGTAATTGTCTCCCCAGAAACACTTCCCTTGTGCTTTTGGAAATCTGTTTTTCCTATTTCTGTTGTGTTTTGTGTACTTTTGCAGCGTTTTTCTTATTGCTGGTGTTTTGTTAAGTTGCAGTCCGTTTGGCCTCTCAGGGCCACTGTAAAAATATCATAAACTCACATTTTTCCCACTGGGAACCCATCAGCTGATCTAAAGCAAACATTTCCCAAATTAGCGTGCCAGTGTGGCTACAGTATGCAAGGACTATAGCAGTGCAGTAGTTAAAACCGCTGCCTCGCAGGAAGCAGGTTGCTGGTTCAAACATCCTGGTTGGCTTGGGCCTTTCTGTGTGGAGGTGTGTACAGTTTGCATGTTCTCCCTGTGCCTGCGTGGGTTTCCTCCCACAGTCCACAGGCATGCATGCTCGATTAACTGGTGGTGCCAAATTGGCTGTAGGTGTCAGGTAGTTGTGTTTTAGGTGAATACTGTGAGTGTTTTGTTCTAATATGATTTGTAATCTGAAGTTCTTTGACATTACCATGATCGATATCATGGTTTGGGTTTTTTTTATGGTTTCTTGCTCATTTAATGTGAGCCATGCTAATATGCAGTAAAAACAACAACAACAACAGCAGCAGCAGGATCAGATTGTTTTGGGAGAAATCAATCATCTCAAGGGATAATTAAACTATTCTGAAAACATGACAACAAAAGAGAAATTTTCAGTTTTGTTGTGGTGTCTTATATTAATATTGTATTTTTTTACTCCTCTGGGCCACAGTAGTACATTGTTAGATCGATTCAATGGATCAATACTGTGATTTTCTAAGGGACGGAGGGACAAAACAATAAAGAAATAAAAACCTCACCTGTCCGAATACCATGACATCAAATCTGATCCCAAATGCTTTGTAGAGTGTTCGCTCCTCCACTCCATTCACAGTGTTGTACTTTGCAAACCTGGTGAAAAAACACAGGATGTGACAGATACAATAACTTTGAAGGGCTGACGTAAATATGAAAGCAA